CCCCCTGCCTTGCCTTTATTGCCCAGAATTGCTTTTGCTCTTATAAGTCTCTTCTGGTTCCAAGGGGATCTTCTATGCAGAGTATCATTTCATCCATAAATAATGATAATTCATCTTCTTCCTTCCTATCCATATTTCTTTCTCTTATCTAATTACTATGGATGTTTCCAGAACTCTGTTGAATAAGAATGGAGACCATGGACATCCTTGTCTTGTTCCTGATTTTAGAGTGAAAGCTTTCAGTTTTTGACTATTTAGTACAATGTTGGCTATTGGTTTGTCATAAATGGCTTTTATCAGATTGAGGTAAAAATCATTTATTCCCATTTTCTGTAGGTTTTTTTTTTTATCATGAATGAGTATTGGACTTTGTCAAACACTTTTTCTCCATCTATCAAGATAAGCATATGGTTTTTGTCCTTGACTCTGTTAATGTAGTATACTACATTTATTGATTCCCATATGTTAAACCATCCTTGTATCCCTGGGATGAACCCTACTTGGTCATGTTGTATAATTTTCTCAATGATTTGCTGCATTCTGTTTGCCAGTATCTTATTGAAGATTTCTGCATCTGTGTTCATTAGGGAAATTGGCCTATCAGTCTCTTTTTTGTTTGGATCCTTCTCCAGTTTTGGTATCAGGATAATGCTTGCTTCTAGCAATGAATTTGGAAGTATTCTTTCCTTTTCAATTTCATTAAAGAATTTGAGAAGTAGTGGCATTAAGTCTTTGAGAAAGTTGGTATTGATGATCTGGATTTCTACAGGATCTTTTGTGATTTCACTCCAATTGTATGGATTTGAGTCTTTTCTTTCCATTTTTTTTTTTATAAAGATTAGCTAAGGGTTTGTCAATTTTATTTAATCTTTCAAAGAATCCACTCTTCAGCTCATTCATTCTTTGTATTATTTTCTTAGTCTCCATTACATTGATTTCTGCTCCAATCTTTATAATTTCCTCCCTTAACCTGAGCTTTGAGCTTGTCTTGCACTTCTTTTTCTGGAAACTTGGGGTTCAACATTAGTTTGTTCATTTGAGCTATTCTGTTTTTGTGTTATGAGAATTCATTGCTATAAATTTTCCTTGTAGGCCTGCTTTCATTGTGTCCTATAAGTTTGGGTATGTTGTGTAGGCATTATTGTTTAATTACAGAAACTGTCTAATTTTTTCTTTAATTTCATCTGTGACCCATTGGTTGTTCAGGAGAGTATTGTTTAATTTCTATGTATATATGTGGGTTTTGTGGTTTGTTTTGCCATTGATTTGCAGTTTCATGCACTATGGTCTGATAATATGCATGATATAATTTCAGTTCCTTTGCATTTACTTAAGCATGTTCTATGAACAGCTAGAATGTGGTCTATTTTGAAGAAAGTCCTGTGTGCATGTCAGAAGAATGTGTATTCTGATGTGGGGTGGAACACCCTGTAGAGATCCACTAAGTCATTTGTTCAAAAGTTTGATTTAATTCTGGTATATTTTTGTTGGTTTTTTGTCTAGTTGGTCTATATGTGATAGTGGAGCATTAAGTTCCCCCATTACAACTGTATTAGTGCTTATTTGATATTTTGTATCTGATAATATTTGTTTTATTTATTTATGCTGGTATTTGGTGAATATGTATGTATGATTTTTATTTCTTCTTCTTGGATTGTTCTCTTAACAAGGATGTAGTGACCTTCTTTCTCTCTCTGAATCAGTCTTGACTTGAAATCCACTTTGTCTGCAAATAGAATAGCTACCTCTGCTTTCTTCCAGGTTCCTGTCATATGGAGTATTGTTTTCCATTAGAATTAAATGTGTTTCTTGTATGCAGCTTAGTGTTGGGTCTTGCTTCTTGATCCATTCTGCCAATCTATTTCTTTTGATTGGTGAGTTGAGACCATTTACATTGATGCTTATATCTGATATTTATTGACTTATCCTTGTCATTCTATTTTCCTGTTGTTAGTCTCCCCTGCCCTCCCTGTGTTTAATTGCTTTCCTTGCATGGTGGATTCATTCTTTTGGGGTTCATGGAGTTGTAGTCCTCATTACCTGTTTATAGAATGTCTTTTAGGACATTTTGGATTGCTGGTTTGGTGTTCATGAATTTCTTCAGGTGTTCTTTGTCACAGAAGTATCCTATTTCTGTATCAATTTTGAAAGTTAGTTTTGTGGTATATCAGTCTGGGTTGGGGGTTTTCTTTTAGGGCTTGAAATACTTTACTCCAAGCTCTCCTTGATTTGAGGGTTTGTGTTGAGACGTCTGCCATGATTCTGATGGGCTTTCTTTTATAGATGATTTGTTTCTTTTCTCTAACACTTTTTAATATTGTATTCTTGTGTTGAGTTTCTGGAATCTTGTCTATTATATGCCTTGCTGTAGATTTTCTTTTAATTGGAGTTCTGTAAGCCTCATTTATCTGTATGCCAGATTCTCTTCCCTGCTTGGGAAGTTTTCTGCCATTACTTCCTGTGAACAGGTTTTTAAATATCATTTGCTTTATATCCTGCTTTTCATTGACACTAATTAATCTTTTGTTATTCTTCTTTGCATCATCTAGCAGCTATTGTGTTGGGTTTTTTTATGATCCCTTGCTATTTTTAAGAAATCGTTCTTTTCATGATCACTCACTGCAATTCTGTCTTCTAGATCTGATACTCTGTCCTCACATTGGCTCATTCTGCTCTGTATACTTTCAGTAGATTTTTTTATTCTCCTGGATATCTGTAATCTGTTTCAGGGATCCCTTTTCTTTCTTATGTTAGCCATTCATGGTTTCAGTCATTTTCCTAAGCTCTTCCATTTTGGTTTTTCTTATCTGTATCTGCTCTAAAGCCACTAAGCATGTTTTTCATAATGGTCACCATCTCTGTAGTTATGGAGAAATTATTTGTATTTGATTTTTTCTGGATCCTCATTCATCTGCTTTGTTACTTACTGCTTGAAAGAATCCAGGTGGCTGGCTTTCAGATTATTCTACCTCATTACACCCTGGGTTTACCTTTGCTGAGCAAAGGGTTTGCATCTTGCTTAAGTGTCTTCTCCTTTCCTATTTTTTAAGTTTAATTCCTGGGTTGATGCTTGTACATTGCTTATGGCAGGTAGCTTTATTGCTAGTATTTAGAGCCCTTAGGAAATGACTACTTTTCAGAGAAGTCTTCCTGGTGTAGCTGGCTTTTGGGTTTCAGTCTGTGGCAGCAGCCTGTCTCTTCAATTTATTGGGCATGAGGCATTGCTGCCTATTTGGCCTTGTCCTTAGTTCTTTGGCACTGGCTTATAGTATTTTTATGACCCATAAGCAATCTCAGACTTGGCATACCAGAATGCACAACTAATTAGAACAGTTACGTCACCTTGTCTAAAATAGTACAATCATAAGTAACAGTAGCATCAAACAGCCTAGCCTAGAAGATGAAAAAATGGTGGTGACTATTAATTTGCCACCTTTAACCGTATGAACTAAATTTGTGGTTATATAACAAAGTCTAAAACAAACTGGAAAAATTGTATAGGGTAAATATGCCCTCACTATGGCAATTTTTCCCTCAGGGGAGAAAATTTAAAAGGAGCTGGAGAAAATAGAGAAATAGAAGAGGAAGAGATTAGAAGCAAGGCTGGAGGACAAAGGAATGTTACACAAGCTTTGGGAAACTGGTAAAGAAGACAGAAGGGAAAGAAAGAAGACATAAAAACCAGAAGAAAACAACAAGTAGAAATAATGTTCACACTCATATAAACACACACACACACACACACACACACCCCAAAAAAAGAAAATGAGGAAAAATATGTTCACTTCAAGGAGAGGCTCTGCTGTCTCTGGCAGACAAAGTGGGCAGACAGACTACCTGTCTGTGTTGATTAGCCCCAGCAAGCGAACTGTAGCTCAGGCAGGGTAGTGGATAATTCTAGCAAGCCTGCGCCTTTATTTCCACTGTAATCGGGGTGATTTCTGGCTGTGAGGCTGGAACCCAATTTGTTCACCCTGCAACATTACACATGCCTCCTGCCAACTTAAACTACGCAGCCTCACCCTGTCACAGCCATTAGGTAGAGCCAGCCCACAGCTGTTCTGAGTTCTGAGCTCAGCTGGCCCCTCTCTAAGATGGCTACTGGCCAGTTGCCCTCTCCTCAAGGATGTCTGAACCCGAATAACTGCAGTCTGCTGCATCTACTGCTCTGTTGAACTGGTTTGTTTCTCCGTGGAGACCTCTAGGGCTGCCAGTTGTCACCGTGCATCTGCAGGTTCAAGCTGTCCCTTCAGCACAGTGAGTCGGGGCTCAGGGAGAAAGTGCTGCTTGTCACCTCATTCCTCGTGTTGACGCCTCTCCTCTCTCTCTTCGCTGTCCGCGTGAGCTTCAGCTCTCACTTCAGATCCTTGCTGGCTGCCAGAGACCCACTTTCCCCCTTCTCTTCCTCACGGTGGTTGCTGTATTCCAGTGTCTGGACACCAAATCTTGAAGAGGCTGTTTCTCTGCTGTTTACCACTTGGCCATCTTCCTGGAAGTCTCCAAAATGTTTTACTTAAATAAAGCTTAGAAACAGATAAAACTAAAATATATATTGTTTAACAAGCAATACACAGGTCGTAAAACTATAAAGAAAAGCAAGAAGTGATCAATATAGAAATCAGTGTAGAGCTTTCCTGTTGAGCCTTTGTGAGCCTTTTCCAGGGACTTTGAGTGCTTGGGTAATATATTAGATTTTAACTTAGGTAGTAGGTACATGAGACTTAATATTTTCTTTTATATTACATTTGCATATTATATGCTCATAGGTGATATACTTCACAATTAAGTGGAAAAAAGTGTATAGATTATAAAAATGTGGAACTGTGAATAAATATAAAAGGCCATTTAAAAAAATGAAAATGGTCTGGGGAAAGTAGCTTAACGACAGAACACTTGCCTGGCAGACACAAAGCCCTAGTTCAATACCCAGAGAGAGAGAAAGAGCTGAGTCATTCTCAATTTATGAAATGGCTACCTGCCTTTATATATTTGTTTTGCAGGATGGCATCAGAATTAATGTAACAACACTGAAAGATGATGGGGAAGTATCTAAACAGGTTTGTCTCCTTTTGATTATGATTTTCATATGCTACATAGCCAAGTGTTATGCAGTTTATTGTACTTTTACTACTGTATTAACTCATTTTCTGTTACTATAATGAAATACCTACACCAGATTACTTTATAGAAAGGGAAATGTATTTAGCTCACAGTTATGGAGGCTCAGGGGCAAGTTGCTGGCATCAATGTGGTGCTGATGGAAGGCGCACATGTCAGAGGCAGAGAGAGAGACTGGTATCCCTTCCAAAGGCATGCTCCCAATGACATAAGGACCTCCCAGTAGGCCCCACACCTAAAGGTCTCACAGCCTCAACACCACTGCACTACGGGCCAAGCCTCCAACAAATGAATCCTTGAGGGACAAACCACATCCAAACCATAGCGTCAATACACCTAGTTCAGTTGTAAAAATAATAAATTTTTGACATGAAAAGTTTGTCATCATTTACAAATGATTGGAATTAATGAATGTGCTGCTTTATTTTAAGGTTGTTCTTAACATAACGTATGAGAGTGGACAGGTATATGTAAATGATTTACCTGTAAATAGTGGTGTAACCCGAATAAGCTGTCAGACTTTAATAGGTGAGTACTCCTAAGTCATTTCACAACCTGTTCTGTTTTAATAATATTAAATTAGTAAAAATTTTTGGATGTTACATATTTCCATTTTAAAGTAATAATGCACATCATTTGTATATAACACTTAACACTCTCTTCTTTCTATTGGCTATTGATGGAATATTCACTTTTTTCTTTCTCCTGAGATTGACATTGATGGAACTGCATTTCGGGTAGGTTGATATTAATATAAGAATGTTCAGAGAGGTGGGATAGCAAGAGCCAAAATTTTGGAGAGATACTTTGGTTCATGAATGCTTTTGTTTGTGAACAGTTTGTTTCACAAACAAAAGTGTTTGGCAGAATTTTGTTTTTGTTTGCAAACTTTACGTTAGGTGACAAACACACCTGTGACCATCTTTCCTGCACAAACACAAATGGGACATTTTTTCCAGAATCATAGAACAAATTGTTTGTGAACCAAAGTACCACTGCCACAGTAGTTGAAGAAAATGACTTGTCTGTGTGATTTTCTTATTTTCAGTTTCCTATATGCTTATGTCAATAGAATGGTTTTTTTTAACCTTTAAAAATTTTGGACTGGGCATAGTAGTGCAGGCCTGTAATCCCAGCATACAGGAGGTTGAGGCAGGAGGATCACTATGAGTTTGAGGCCAGCCTGGGCTACAGAGTGAGTTCAAGGCCAGCCTGAACTGTACAGCAAAACCCTGTCTCAAAAAGACAAAAAAAGAAATTTTGAATTGTTTAAAGATAAGCAGATACATTACATTAAATATGTAATGCTTATTGAAATAAAGAATGTTTGCTGTACTGTTTGTTAGAAACAGGTAACTAGGCCCAGCCCACATTCAGAGGTAGCAAAGAGGCAGTGGGTTTCTCATCCACTGAGACTCATTTGTCCTAGGCTTTGGCCATCCAGACATGCTGACAAGGCTGGAGGGAGATCAGCAGTAAACAGTGAAAACACTGACATGAAGCCAAGCTGTGTAATGTAAGCCCACAGGCCTAGCACTCAGGAGGCTGAAGCAGGTGGATCGCTAGAGTTTAGAAGTTTGAGACCAGCCTGAGGGCATAGCAAAACCCCATCTTTAAAGAAAGAAAAAAAGGACTGGGGATATGGCTTCATGGCTTAGTGGCAGAGGGCTTGCCTAGCAACCACAAGACCCTGGTTTTGATCTCTAGCACCACAGGAAAAACAGAAAGAAAACACACACATACAAACTTTGATATCGACTGTGAGCGAGGGGACATTTTACAATTGTACATATCAAAGGATATGAGGGTGTTAGCACCCAAGAGAGGGAATAGCGGCTGTAGGTGAGGAAACTGAAGGAGGAGGAACAGTCAGAGAACTACCAGAAAATTAGTGGGGCTGTCACTCACAGTGCTTGAGCAAGGAGGTTTTACAATCAAAGTAACACCACAGTGAGGTAGTTAAGCACTGTTGTATGAATGGTTTGGAAGGGGAGGGACTACAGGAGGGGAGACTAGGTAATTAACTGTTATACTAAGTGGTTAGTGAACTAGGTATTGGGATATTCTAGACAAGACTAGTAGTTTAAACAGCTAGGCCTGTTTTCAGAGTGTATATCTGGGTTTTTTGAGAAACAGCCTTGAGACTATTTGAGGGAGGGCAAATACATGCTGCTCTTGTTTGACGGTTTCATTGATGTGTGTTGTGTTTCCCTTTTCTATAGCACTATATTAATTGACTAGGCACTTGCTCTATAACTACTACAACTACCACACCCCATCTCCATTGGATTTCTAGCTAGAGGGGAGTATGTTTAGTAGCTAGTCCTATCCTGCTGTTCATTATAAGGAGAAATAATAGCCTTTCCCGTCTCTTTCCTATTCCTGACTTTTTCAACGGGAGCAAGTCACTTACTGGGAAAGGATTAAACAAACAAACAAAAAAAAACAAAACAAAACAAAACAAAAAAGCCCACAATTTATATTTGGGCCCCTTCTATTATTGGACTTTGTGAATAAATGAATGAATGTTCTTAGTTTGTTAAAATATGCAATAGACTGTCTTGTGGCCTGTTTTGTAAATTAGTTATAGGATGTTGGTTCTGTTATGGCCAACCTGTTGGTGTAACATTTTATACAAAATCTAAGGGCGATCAAGCATTTCCCCTTTTCAAATGAGTGCAAGCTATTTGTAAGATTTTGTCAAATAGGCTTCATTTTTATAAATCTGAAACAGTGTTAAGGTCAAGGATGACGAAAACCAACATTAGTTTTCAACTGTCTTGTTCCATGTAAATATCATCAGAATAATCAAATTCAGTAACAGATTTGGTGGCAATTTTTGTTCATAGCTGTCACTACTTTTTCTTACAGTGAAGAATGATGGTCTGGGAAATTTGGAGGAAAAGGAATATTTTGGAACTGTCAGTGTAAGGATTTTAGTTCATGAGTGGCCTATGACATCGGGTTCCAGTTTGCAACTAATTGTCATTCAAGAAGAGGTAGTAGAGATTGATGGAAGACAAGTAAGACAGTATGCTTATTAATTGGGAATTCGGTTGTAAAGATTTAAATTTGTTCTTGCTACACATGTGTTCAATTATTTTATTGATTTCTGACTTGATAAAGAAGGTACCCTAGCTGGGGATATAGCTCAGTAGCATAAGCGCCTGCCTGGCAAGCTCAAGGTCCTGAGTTTGTGTCCCGGTACAAAACAAACAAACAAACAAAAAAAAAATAGAAAGAAGGTACCCTAACAATTGCCTGTACCAAATCATTTAGAATTGACTTATTTTAGCACTTAACATGTATTAATTTTTGTAACTGCACATTTCATACATATCTGTATCACTTAAAATGTTGTGAACATCATTAAACAAAAAAAGTGAAGAGATTAAATTTGGTTCATAGTTCAACTACCATTTTCTCTAAGTCTTGAACTGAAATTAAACTTACAATTGTTGGTGCTAAAGCAGGCATGAGTATGTTAAAAGGTAAAATTATGGGAGGGAATAAGCAGTAATTGTCTGACTAGGACAAGTTTTTTAGTTATAGACATCAGGGAGAAAAATGCACTTTTAAATTTATATGCTGCTGGGCCACTTGTTTTTTCTTTCATAGGCTCAACAGAAGGATGTTATTGAAATTGATATTTTAGTTAAGGACCAGGGAGTACTGAGACATTCAAACTACACCCTTCCTTTAGAAGAAAGCATGCTGTACTCTATTTCCCGAGATAATGACATTTTATTTACCCTTCCCAACCTCTCCAAAAAAGGTAATTCAAAAGATCATTATTTAAAATATTAAAGAAACCTTTCTTTAGTTAGTAGCTTTATATATTCTTGAAGTTTATAATTTTTACGTTACTTATTAAAATTGCTATATATTTTTAATTACAGTTAATATGTTTGGAAATAAGCTTCTTCAAAAAATATTTCAGCAGAGCACGATGGTACATACCTATAATCCCAGATATTGGGATGGCTGAGGCAAGAGGATCACAAGTTTGAGGGTAACCCGGGCAATTTAGGAAACCCTGCCTCAAAATATAAAATTTTGGGGGATGTAGCTCAAGCTGGGGATGTAGCTCAGTTGCAGAGTGCCTCTGGGTTCAATACCACTACGATGATAAAACAAAACTATAGGGGCTGTAGCTATACCTCCATAGCAGAGTGCTTGCCTGACTGGCTTTAATCCTCAGCACTGCAAAAAGTAAAACACAAAATCCTTCATAACATGTATACATGTGTTACTTTTATGTCCACTTGAAGACTTTAGGAAGCTGTTTGGTGCGGTAGTAAAATGTGATTATGCTGGTTGCACAGTGACGTTTTCCCAGTAATTATCCACCTTTATTCTATAATAGTATAGACATTTAATGATACTATAAAGGTTCATTTAGAAGATGAAGTATTCATTTTTCCACTGAAAACACAGAGCTTTTAAAATTTAGACTTTCTATGTGACAAAATAGTAAGTGCTGTAGCCCCTTATAAATAAGGCTGTTTCCCTCTGGTGCTTAAAAAATTTTGGTAAAATATTTGATCTTACAATCCTAAATGTTATTGGCATAGTAACACTAGGACTTGTAGAACAGCCCCTAGCACGCCCCTAGCATTTTGATAACTGTGCTCTTCCTCTTCAGTAGAAAGTGTGAATTCACTGCAGACCACCAGCCAGTACCTTATCAGGAGTGTGGAAACGACTGTAGATGAAAATGCTTTACCTGGCAAATTGCCTGAAACTCCTCTCAGAGCAGAACCTCCATCCTCATATAAGGTAAATTAAGTACTTGATGTTAGCTTTATTTGGTGTTATCATAAGCATTTATGTTTATGGTGAAGAACATAGATACTGACATTTAAAATGAGATCAAAATGATGAGAATTGAAAGCATGGAGCACTGCTAATAGTAGACTCATTATAGTTTTAATGTGATGTTTTTTGTTTTGTCTTTTTGAGACGGTTTCAGTATGCAGTTCAGGCTGGTCTTGAGCTCACTTTATAGCTCAGGCTGGTCTCAAACTCACAACAATCCTCCTGCCTCAGCCTCTGGGGTGCTGGGATTACAGGCATGTGCTACCACACCTGGAAATGTGATGTTTTTAGATACTCTTATTTTTTTCTTCATGCTGCATTAACAGGGGTTGGGAGTATAATTCAGTGATAGGGTGTTTGTTTAGCATGCCCATGGCCCTGGATTTATCCCCAGCACGAGAACAAAACAACATAGTCAGGTCATAATTATGAAGGCACTGGATTTCATCTGATTGGGAATTTTCAGTTCCAAAATTCTTTTTCATTTCTCCATTTCTTTTTATTCTGCAGCTACTACCTGTACACAAAGGTACACTGTGGTCTTGAGATCTTATACGGTGATAATGTTTGAAAACTGGTCTACCATAGATTAGTTGTGTGACTTTGGAAGAATTCTTAACTCTAGCCTGTTTCTCTATTTGTGCTGAATCTGTAAAGTATTTCTTTACATTGTAAAGATTAAATAAAATAAATATTACATGTAAATACATTGGCACCTATTAAGTACCTATATACCCATGACATTTATGCTGCTGACTAGGAAATTACAATTCAGATTGCGTTCTGATAGCTCTGCATATTAGCTAGAGCCTTTAGTTGAAATAATTTCCATTTAAGAATAGTATCTATGGTTAGTCTACAAAGAAAAGTTCTCACCAAAGATAGGATTGTTTGAGGTTGCTGGAGAAATCCAGGTGATATGGGCATTTTGGATGCTGGCACCAGCACCAGCTCTGACCCTCCACCAGCAGGTCAGAGTAAACTGTCTTCACCTGTCTTCACAGCAGTTGGGGTCAGTACCCAGGTTAGGTCCTTCTCTTGCTCTTGAAATATGGCAATATTTTGTATAGAGTGAACCTCCCACCTGTTCCAAAGCTACTAAAAAGTTTATCTTTCCCTTCCATCTCTTCTCCTACTTGAAACCTATAATTGCTTTTGCTCCATTCTTTTAGAGTAGACAAGTCTAACTAATCTCCTATCACTCAGCATTTATTTTTACTTGATTTGTAGTTAGCAGTATAAATAATTTAAAAGGATATTACCATTTTTGTGCCTGTGTTTTGGAACATAACTTTTTAAGATTATAAATAACTTTGAGCAATTAAATGCTGTTATCTTGTACTCTGAGTAATTTAAAGATAACAATATTCAGTGTATTAACCAGTTACTGTCCTATTATCTTGTTTTGAAATTTTTTTCCCCTTTAAAAAAGATTATAAATAACTTTATTAAGGTGCATTTAAAAATAGAATACACCACTTAAAATACTCAGGTGGGGTGTGTGTGTATGTATATGTATGTATGTGTGTGTGCATGTACAGAAAGACAGAGAAAGAGGGAGAGGGAGGGAGAGACAGACAGACAGACAGACACTCAAGATACATTGATCCCAGGACTTCATGCATGCTAGACAAGCTCTCTACCATTGAGCCATACCCCCTGTGCTAAAAATAGACATGTAGATATGTAGTCATCACCACGGTCAAGATACAGAATATTTCCATCATCCCAACACTAAAACATTAATAAATTTTAGAATGTAAAAGTTTATGGAACTTTCACAGCCGGGGATATAGCTCAGCAGCATAGCGCCTGCCTGGCAAGTGTGAGGTCTTGAGTTCAATTTCTGGTACCAAAACAAAAGAATCAAAAAGTTTATGGAACTTTGTTTCATATCTAACCAAAATTCCTTTTCCAGGTAATGTGTCAGTGGCTGGAAAAGTTCAGAAAAGATCTGTGCACATTCTGGAGCAGTTTTTGCCACGTGCTCTTCCTAATTTCTTCTGTCATGATAATTGGAATTCTAGGAGCAGCTGTGGTCTTAACCATCTTAAAGTTATTCCTCCCAGTTTCGGAATACAGGTAAGTATTTCTTACTTTTGAACATTAGTATTTTTAATTATTAAAACATGAGTTAGCCAGTTGTGGTGGTGCTCTAAAATAAAGTAAATTATGATGCCTTTCACTATTATGAACCATGATAGTATGTGTTTATGATGCCAGGGATAAAAATTATGTTCCCCCCCAATCATGGTCCCAGGTGGGCATGGTGGTGTACACCTATAATCCTAGTGCACTTGGAAGCTGAGGCAGGAAGATCTTAACTTCAAGCCACGCCTGGGCAACTTAGTGTAACTCTGTCTCAGATTTATAAAAAAAAAAAAAAAAAGAACTGGAGATGTAGCTCTAGGTTCAATCAAGGATGTAGGTTCAATCTCTAGTAGTGCGCACACACACACATGTTATATTGACTATATTTTAGAATAGAAAACATGAAAAAGAGGGTAAGATGGTGAGGCAGTTTGGCAGGAAAATAAGTTACTTTTTCCTAGCTCATCTTCCAACTTTACCAGAATTAAAACGTATTTATTGAATAACTGTTGTAATCAAAATACTTTTAGAGATGCAAATCTGAATTAAGACAAACTGCTCTCAGATCTTAAGTGTAGAGGGAGAGAAAGGAAACAAATACGAATGTGCAACGTGTATGATGAGAAGAGGACTTCACTGTATATTTTCACCCCAAAGTATCTGTTTAAAATGTACTAATTTTAGAGACTAGCAGCGTAGTCCTTGCTGCAGTGTTTCTAACAGCCTCTTGTTTTGCTGTTGCTTTCTCTCGCAAACAACGTTGGGCTTGACTACGGATATGGCACCATGATTCTCTGTGGCTGGAAAAGCCCAGTCTTGAGGCGAGGGTTGGTTCTGGGGGTGTTGCAAGACAGTGTCACTGCACCTGAGTAAAGAAAGGCATTTGTATAACTGTATGTACATAAATGCAAAGAAAATGTTTTAGAATAAGACAATAACTTACCTCTAATGAATGGAACAAGAACAGGGGTAGAGAAATTGACTATTTTCCTTTTCCTATATCTGATTGGACATTGTTGCCCTCATTTCCTGTTCCTGTCCTCTTTTTCATGTTTTCTAGTTTAAAACATGTAGTCAATATAGTTTGTGTGTGTGTGCGCGTGTGTGCGTGTGTGTTGCACACAGGCACGCAGTACTGGAGATTGAACCTAGAGCCTCTATACTGAGCTACATCTCCAGCTCTTTTTAATTTTTTTTTATATTTGAGACAGGGTTACACTAAGTTCCCCAGGCTTGGCTTGAAGTTGAGATCTTCCTGCCTCAGCCTCCTATGCATTAGTTTTTGCATTGTATTTGCTTTTTATCACAGTAACTGCTAAAAATCTAGCTTTGCAAAGATTTGTCCTTATTGAGAGGAATATAGTGCAATCTAACATTGAAACCATGAATTATCCTCAAGATATTATTGCACATGAAATTTCTTGAAAATTTAAAGTTTTCTGTGGTAACTGTAAATTTGCTTTGTAAATTTAGGCCTCAGTGCAGTTGGGATACGTGGACTTGATCTTTTCTTTTTTCTTTCCTCTCTTTTTTTTTTTTTTTTTTTT